GAAGAGATTTCAGACTGTAGACAAGATTCAGGAAAATACAGTGGGGCAGCTGATGTCAAATGGGAGAACCGTGTAAAGTCCCAAGGTGCCTAATTTGGAGAGGACTGAGGAGCCATTGTCCTATGTACAATGTTTCTTGTATCTTCTTCAATAAATGTCTCTATTTTTTATATGACAATCCTAGGTACACCACAGATTTTTTATCACAATTGTATATTTTTTATCACAAGTGATGGGCACTTGGGCTGCTCATGTAGCTTGGTTATTGTAAATCTTGCTGCAATGACTATATGGCTACACTTATCTTTTTTAATTAGTACTTTGCATTTCTTTAGATAAATGCCCAGATGTGGAGTTACTGGGTCATATGGCAGTTCTATTTTTAATTTTTTGAGGAACTTCCATACTGTTTCTCATAATGGTTGCACCACTTTGTGATCCCATCAACAGTGGACTAGGGTTTCCTTTTCTCCACATCCTGGCCAGCTATGAAATCTCTTGTTCTTTTATTGATGATAGCTATTCTGACAGGTGTAAGGTGGTATCTCTTTTCATATATGTTGGCCATTTATACTTGTATGTCCTCTTTGGAAAATTGCCCATTCAGGTCCTTTGCCCATTTTTTCATCACGTTTTTTGTTTTTCCTGGTGTTAACTTGTATGAGTTCCTTGTATATTTTGGGTATTAATCCCTTACTGGATGAATATTGGTAAATATTTTCTATTCAGGACATTGTCCTTTCATTTTGTTGATGGTTTCCTTTGCTGTGAAAAACTTTGTAGTTTGATGATTTCCATTTCTTTCTTTTTGTCTTTTGTTCCCCTTGTGTGACAAGTCAAATCCAAAAAAAATTGCTGAGAGTGATGTCAAAGAGTTTATTGCCCATATTTTCTTCTAAAAGTTTTATGGTTGCAGGTGTTACATTTAAATCTCCAATCCATTTTGAGTTTGTAAGGTATATGCATGCGAAATCACTATATCTTATAGGTGAAACATACAATATTGTAGATTGACTGTAATTTTAAATTACATTCATTTTTAAACCTTCTAAAATAGTTTATTTAAAAAACTGATGTAAAAAAGTATTCCTTATTAAAATTCTAGTAACTCTGGCAGTTGCAACATAGTAATTGATTATCAATCATTTATAGCTATATTTCAATTATACAGCCAAACACTTTCATTATGATAAACCAAACCCGCTGACGCTTTGATCTTGGAATTTCATCCTGCAGAGCTCTGAGAAGATTGATTATTGTTGTTGAAGCCACCCAGTCTGTCGAATTTTGTCATGACAGCCTTAGCAGACTGAGACAGTCATTAAGATAATAAAGACAATTACATTAACAATTGTGGTATACTGCATTATTCAGCTGGACCAACTCCTAAGTATAACCACCTTTCATTTAGCAGTGGTCATGAGACATAATTCTATTCAACAAACCATAATACGATTCTGGGTGGCAAGATTTTTATAAGACCTGTACCGTACTGCTAAAAAAAAAAAAAGGCAAAACCATCTTAAACAAGCTATTGTTCTTTTTGTTCTTTTCATTCTCCTTACATTCTGAACATGGATAATAGGAACACAAGATAATCTAGATGAAGACAAAAGACAATATTCTAAGAATGAAAGTACGTAAAGGAAAACGATGTGACTCCTGACAATAGTGCTAAGATGTTTTCTTAGCCCTGGATTGTCTATCACATAAATTTGTTTAATGTGAAGAGAAACATATTCTTTAAGTCCCACTAGTCATGTTTTGTGTTACCTAAAGTCTGAAAATACAAAACTATTTCCTAACAGATAAATAATTTATATTGATTTTAAGAATAAAATCTGTGTAAAAACTACTGATTACTTTCTGCAAACAAGATATTAATTGATTTTTGAGGAAATTTAGAATGTTATCTCCTGAATTTTATTAAGTATTTTGAGAAAGATGCCTGCTGTGGGTAGTCACATTCCTGTTAGTTTCTGAACTTCGCTTTTGGATAACTGGAAATGGAGACAAAGCTGAAAAATATCACAGCATCCCTAAAATATACACACAGAGTTTATCAATGAAAGCCACTATTAAAAGAGATGAAGAAAAATAAAATAAGAAATAATATATATTTGTTATCATTAGTTGAAATCAATGACCTTGGTTGAACTCAATATAATATTTGTTATTTCAAATGTTAACTCTTTTTAAAATGTGTTAATTTAATCTTTATCTTTATTATATTTTTTACATTACCTTTCAGTCCCTTTGTATCTCCTCCCCCCAGCAATCACCACAATGCTAACTCTTAAGAAAGAAGAAACCAAGCATAACTTTTAGCTTTAGGTAGAAATTGTGCACAAAGAGAATATATTATAGTAGACATATTTTTACTAGTCATTGCATCTCAGTGTTTGCCATGGGATTTTATTGGGGTTCCCTACAAATCTTACCATGCCCCTGTATTTTGAACCATAAATTCTCCAGGGTGCAATTACAGGCATGGAAGGGGAGATCTGTTCTCCCAGTTCAATTCCTTAGTTTGGTTCAGAGCTTTGATCCTTAAAGAAAAATTATCTCCCTTCACCAATGTTTCCAGATGTGCAAACTAGAATGGTAAAGAAACTTTGCTGGAGTAGCACACCACTGTCAGACTCCCATAGAGACCAAGGAGCCCTTCAGAGTGGTTCTGGGGTAGAGTTATCGAGCCGTCTTAGTGGGATGCCCAAAGGGCACACACAACTGTTCTTTATTGCCAGCATGAAACCTGAGATGCGGGGGTCCTGGAAAATGAAATTAATCTTAAGTTTAAAAGACTGAACCGATGTCTATAATTAATTATTGAGAGACTACTCTATACAGTAAAGCTATCATTTAGAATTGAAGGGCAGATAAAGTGTTTCCCAGACAAGGTAAAAGCTAAACGAGGACATCATCACCATTATTATATGAAGTTTTAAAGGGACTTATTCAAGAAAAAATAGAAGATCAAAACTATGAACATTAAAGTGGCAATAAATACATAACTATCAACAACAGAATCTAAAAAACAAAAAAAGTAAAGAAGCAGAACAGAGACAGAATCATAGATAGGGAGAACGTTGGGATGGTGGCCAGTTGGGTGGGGGGTCTGGGATAATGGAAGACGAGGTGCAGAGGTTAAGAAGCACAAGTCGCTAGGTACAAAACTGACAAGAGAATGTTAAGAACAGTATAGGAAATGGAGTTGCCAAAGAACTTACATGCATGACTCATGGATATGAACAAAGGGGAGTCTGACAGAGGTAGTAGGGGGTGCTGGGTAAAAAGGGGCAAAGGGGGAAAATTGGGACAACTGTAATTAATAACATAATCAAGAAAATATAATAAAAATGAAAAATCAAATCAAATAATTATTGAAGCATGCTATTCAAATTCAAATGCCTATTTTCATTATCACTCAAAATGTGAATGTTTGAATTTAGAAACAGCAATATTATCAATCAGACAACTGTGAATTTGTGGGGAAATATTTAACATTTTTCTACATGTTGTTAAGAAACAATTGTTTAAATGTCATTAGCTAAAATATAAACTTGGTAACTGTGAGTAAAGGTTCAATCAGACGCTTTTCCTGAAAGGAAAAGAAATCAAAGGAGACAAGAGGGAAGGAGGGAGGGGGGCGGGGGAAAAGGAAGGGAAGGGGAAAGTCAAGGAACATATAGCAAGGACTCATGGACAAAGCCAAAGGGGAAGAGCTGAGGGAGTGAGGGAGGGAGGGAGGGGGCAAGGGAAAGTGGTGGGGGGTAGGCAGAGACAAATGTATTTGAAAAAATAAATTAATTTTAAAAAACATGTATATAAAACTGGTACTGTATTATGAGGATAATTATAACGTTAGTAAATAAATCTTACAAAATGGAATGTCAATCTTTTTTTTTTTAATTATTCCACAGCAGACACAAACACACTGGTACTCATGGCAAGATTGTGAGGAGAAATCACCTTCAGTGGCCTTTGGGATCATTTTCATCAAAAGGCAAGAGGGAAAGCCCATCAGTACTTTAGCACTTGGCCATCAGCTGATATCTTCACCCCATACACATAAAAATTCCCAAGGCAGGTCTTTTTTCCCCTTTATTACATTTATTGGGGTGGCACTCGTTATTAATGTTATACAGGTTTTAGGTGCACAATTCTACAACACATCATCTGTGCACCGCAGTGTATGTTCATCACCCCAAGTCAAGTCTCCTTCCGTTACCATTTATCACCCCATAACCTCCTCTACTTCCCTCCAGGACCCCTGACCCCTGACCCCTGACCCCCACAATCACCACACTGTTGTCCATGTCCATGTGTTTTTTTCTTTTTTGTTAAATCCTTCACCCCATGACAGATGTCAGCCTGTTCTCTCTGTTTTGCTTGTTAGTTCATTTTGTTCATTTGATTCCACATATGTGTTGAAATCATATGGCATCTGTCTTTTTCTGACCGGCTTATTTCACCTATCATTTTAGTTGTCCAAAGTCTCACATCAGCTTGTGCCAATTAAACTTTAAAAAATACTTCTACTTCCTCAAGTTCAATGTGGCCATTTTTTGTTACATTCTGACTGAAGTAATTTATTGAAGGTATGGTTTACAAATAATTTTACCTGCAATAGCTAGAATCGAGGAGAGGGCTTAGCCTAAAGTTACTAGTATTAACTGGAATGGAAGGTGAATATATTCTGCTAACATGTCAGGAAAATAGGGAAAATGGTGTCCCATTTCAGAAATATGCAGAAATCACAAGATGAAAGCCATCAGATTATTTTGATGACTTGTGGTTAGATTTTACCAAAAAAGCAAATATTTTATAGTTTATAATGATAAATTTCAGCAGCAGAAAATTATCATTTAAATTCCTATAGGTACCATTTTATGACTGCTCTGTAATACACATTCACTCCTGATATGCCTAGGAACCCAATGCAAATTTAATGCAATTTGAAAACATTTTGTATAAAATGATAATAAAGGGGTACTTACACTTCTATATTTCACAATGTATTCCAGAATAGGGGCCCCTCCATCATCCTGTTTGGTGATGCTGATTTTAAAGCTCTTCCCACTGCTTGGCTGCCCATGTATGGACGGAGGGCTTGGTTCACCTAAATATGCAATACAACATTCTTGGTATTTGCACAGTCCTCAGATACCAAGAGAAACTACATTTTATAAAAATAATACTCATATAATCAAAATATATGATAATCCTGGATTTAACACTTGCTATTTGTGCATTTTTTGTGATATAACCTCTGATACTCTTTCTCTCCATATTCTTTATGAACAGCAACATTCATAAATCTAGTTATGCCACAATTGGGATCAAATATAATGTTTACATTGATGTAAAAATGCTCTGAGAATAGTACTACTATATACAATAATAAACATGTTTTATTAACAGTGGGTAATGCTATTTATTTATTCAATTTAGTTTGTAAACATTTTGTAAATGGTTATTAATATAAACATATGAAAGCATCAAACTGTATAGCATATGTCCCTACCAGGAAAGATAATGGCTTAGCAATCAGTTATCTGCTTTTTTTTTTCCTGTGAAGCAACTTTATTTATTTTGTTATTGTTGTTCTCTTTTCATTTTTAAACTACATACACTTGTGAATAAAGAAATTTTATTTTATCCAATTTATAAACCTGTATTTCAATATGGTTCTTCTAGTATCATGAGCAAAGTTGCCTATGATACTATTCTTCTCATGAAGATGATTTATAACACAGATGCTTATACTATTTTGAATATGAACAGGGACCCACTAAAATGTAAGACTTTTTTTGTGTGTGAAGAATTCCCACACTGCTGGGCTAGAGAAAAGGGGGTCCTCCATTGTGCGTCACTGACGGGACATGCTGGGGCGCGCACTGGCTCCCTGCCCGGCTTCCTCCAGCTCCCTATGGATGCAGGTGTGAGATGAGCATGGGAAGGCTTAAAACTAGTAGAGGACACACTTGGTTTTGCAGGGCCCCAAATACCTGTACTATTTGGCCTTCTGAGAGGAAGGCCAACACAGACACACTGAGCAGAAGGAAGAGGATTGCATGTTCCCGAACCTGGAGAACCTGTTTTTTGTTTGTTTGTTTAGTTTTTTTTTCCCCCAGTATGTTACCTACATGTCTAACATGGTATTTACAGCTTTAAGCAAGTGTGTAAGAAGACAGAAGAAGTATGGCAATTAGTTGTGGTGGCAAGCATGCAAATAATAAAAATAGCCTCATGTGGTACAGCCACATAGAAACGAAATAAACAGAGGAATTGTAGAGCGACTGTTCATGAAAGCTAGTTAAATTAGCATGCAGGTATCGTGACATGACATGACCTGTAACAATACAATGTATTTTTGACAAATAAATAAAACTAAAAACCAATGCAATAATTTTTTTTAAAAGATTTAGTAGGAGATTAGGGATAAATCTAAATATAAAATGATATACTCAGGAAGTTTAGTATCTTTTCCAAATTTTAGAATTCACATGTTGTACACTGTAAGTTTATTTAATATTATTGTAATATTATTTTTAATATTGGGAGTGATAGCATTTTTAGGTAATCATTATAAAGCAGAGACTGTCTTTTTATTATAAATATTTTAAAACACATAATTTAAACATGTATATCAAATTAGTGATTCCATTACAATTGCTACTTCATGTGAAAATAATAAATTTCAAAATAAGGGAAAGAGGTGGGGGGAAGGCAGAGACAAATGTATTTAAAAAGTAAATAAATTAATTAAAAAAAAAATCTTTACAAAAAAAAACCAACAAAGCAACCCAAAATATGGAAACCAAAAAGAGAACACAAATAGTAGTAAATGAACCTAACTCTATTATAGGTGGAACTCATAGTCATACTAAAAGGAAAAACAAACAGACAAAAAATATCCTTAACCCAACTAACTTGGAAAAATAGTAAATGTATCTGGTAAGGCAAAACAAAACAAACAAAACAGAATTTAGCACACAAACACTGTAATTAATAAATTTACACTCACATGAGTGTGAGCTAGAAATATTGAAACTATTTTATGTGGATAGTAGAAATAAGCAAATGAATAAATATATTGTGGATAATGAAAAAAAAAACAAAAAAAAACAAAATAAGTGTAGATTGTATCACAGAAAAGTAGATTAAAATAATGGTTACTGTTAGCAATTACTACAAAATGTTTATGTAAAAATAATCAAAAATTTATTAACAGGTAGTTATGACTTATTAAGTACTTTGTATATATTATCTCATTTTAACTTCAAAATAAATCTTGAGAAACAGTTAAAACACATATTTATTATTAAGGAAAACTTCGTGTCCACACTCAAAGTGCTCACTGTCAAGAACAGAGGTTTGCAGGTTAACAAAAGTATACTAAGAGACTGGAAGTGTCACTTAAAAGGGAAAGAGGAAAAAAGGGACGAGTAAAAAAAAAGATGCTTTATGCTTGAAATACCTGCAGAAGTAGTCTATGAATGAATGAAAGTGTGCCTAAATGAAGAAGAAAACAAATATGAGAGTGGTTATCTAAGGTCTAGCCATCGTGATTTAATCAGCGGCCAATGTTCAGTGACCTAGGAAATTATGAAAAGGAAAGAAATCAAGACAAAATACACTCTTCCGTTCAACCTGCTGATGCAGAAAGTGCTGCGGCAGTTGAGGGAGGGGTGTGCGCATGGCAGGCAGGCAAAGTTGTGTGTGGACGGACAGTGGAAGGTAAAGGGTGGTGTTGTTGAGGATTATAAATAGAGAAGAGGCAGGTTTCTTTAAATTTTTGTAAGGTCACTCTAGACTCATTTTAATCTGGAGACAGGATTATAAATCAAGATGTATTTGCAGTCCTGCTGGTGAAAAAAATAATGAGAAACTAAAGAGACATTGGCATTGGGAATGGAGAAAATGGAACACATCTAACCAATTTGCAGACAAACAGAAAAGAACTGGTTGCAAGTTGGGATAATACAATTTATATGGCAAACTTGACTTACTATATATGTATATAATAGTGTTATGTATAATTTTATAACAGCATTTCTTTAGCCATACTCATTTTTTCTCATTTTAAAAAAATTATTCTATATATATATGTATATGTATAATTGAATAATATATTCACTTATAACAGCAAAGAAATGCTGCCTTCCCCCTTCCCAAGGGGAAGGATTGAGGGAGGAAGGGGGGAGGGGGCAGAGGAAGGTGGTCGGGGGAAGGCAGAGACAAATGTATTTGAAAAAACAAAGAAAATAAATTAAAAAAATAAAAAATAAAAAAAAAGACAGACAAGGGGGTTTCAATCTACAGCTCTCCCCCCCAAAAAATAAATAAAATAAAATAATTTATTCAACATAAAATAAATGTAAGTCATTTTAAATGTATCTTAACTTCATATAAACTATATCGACTTACAACACCCAAAACAGGATGGTAATGAGAACAAATTTACAACAATCATTCTTCTTTTGCAGTCACCAATATAATGGATTAATTTAATGCTGTACTTTCTACCCACTTTGGGCCCATATAATTTATAGGATAATGGCAAAAATCACTCTTGATCAAAAGAATAGAATTTTGGACATATTACACAGTCCTCTCCTCCCTCACGGAATGTAGTCTGAGCACTGCAATCCAATTAATCAGTAGTGCCATGAATAAGTAGGGCACCTTCTGATCCCGACAAGTTCCTGAGAGCAATTTTACTGTCTATATTGCACTACAGCTTTTCTGTATTGCCTTGATCCAGAGCAATATTATATATATAAATCTAGATGCCACCATATTCAGAAACTACTTCAACAGAGACATAATTCACTTCCCCAAAGTGTTGAAACATCTCCCTGCATTTTAAAATCCCATTTAAATTTGGATGTGAAGAAAATGGCAACAGTGAACATAACAGAGAAGAGTACTTACGAACTGGTAATGTTTGGAAGATTTCTATTTTACTGTAATCTCCTTGCCCTTTTCCATTCACAGCTGCAACCCTGATTTCATAAGTTGTATTTGGTTCCAGGTTGCTCAAAACAACCATTGCTAGAAGAAAAATATATATATATTTATGCCTATGATTAATGCATTTTAATAAGTAAACACATCAACCTACTGCAAAGCTGAGTACAAAATCTCACTGTAAATCTTTCCATAAGTACCTGAAAAGGATAGGAAATGCACATAAGAAGAATGATTTGTGAACAGTCTTCTTTGCCTCTACTTTAGCTTTCTAACTTACTGCAGAAAATTTCAAATAGGAAAACTGATAGCTTCTTTTGTGATACTTATCTCACAAAGTAGAAAGTAAAACCCTTTCATCTTTTTAATATTCAAGAAATAGGAGTGATCTAAATCAAACATCTTTACTGTATGCATCCCAAATATTTTGCCTACTCCAAAAGGAGTTTAGTTCTTAGAACTCTGGCCTCTGGTATAAAGTGTCTTAGTTATGTACAAAAAGTGTCACAAAGTTAACTCAACAGCAAAGTAAACTCTTTATTTGATAATCTCAAATCAAATCATTTTTAACAGTAGTTTGAAGGTTATCATCATTTGTATTTTCTCTCTGAATTTCTTCTCAACTACACACTGGACCAGACTGGATTCTACATGACACAAAGAGGAAGAAGCAATCTGAAAAAGTACAAGCATGTAAAAATTAGAGATAACTTCTAGGTCACATCAACCTTTTTTAATTTTCCAGAGAATTTTGGATACAATTGCAGGTTTCAAAATACTATATCTTTACAAATTCCTCTGATGAAACTAACAAAACTCCACAGTTGTCTCTATTTTTACTGCTTTTACTAAACAGAGAAAAACTAACTTGTGGAAATGACAATGCCTTGACAAGCAAGAAAACAGAAGTCATTCCCGGTTCACATAATAACTCCAAGTCAAATGATCAATTTAAAAGAAGAAGATGTAATCAATCATAAAATAAAATGCTAAACTATAAGTAACCTGAGTCATATTTGTAAGGCTATTTTTACATGAACCATGACCGAAGACTGTATCTATTCAAATTCCTATATATAACCACTTTGTAAGTTATATATACATGCCGAAGCACTATGCTGTACGTCTGAAAATCACACAACACTGAAGGTTAACTGTAATTGAAAAAGGAAAAAAAAGAAAAAAAGAATTTTTGACCTTTGAAATAAAAACCACAATGTATCAATTATCCACACAAAAGGGGACATTATCTGCTGTTGGTGAGATAATCCAGAAAAATGCATTGTTTATCTTTGAATGTTTAAGGGCAAAATACTCTATGCTTGCTAGCGATATATACTTATATATACTTATAAACATTTAGTTATATATACTTATAAACATTTAATATTAATATTGACACAGATAATCTATGTTGAGAGTACGCTGCACAAGAGTATATATATGTAAGAGTGCTGTGGATACTTGAACTGCTGCAGAAACTTTGGGTATGTGATATGCCTCCACATTACTATGAAGTAAAGATGCGGCTGCTACCATTGTTTTAAGATCATACAGTTAGTAATGTCTATATTCAACTGTCTGCCTTGATACAATTAATTCAGAAAAGCAGCAGAATTTAAAGCATGCAATTTTAATTATAAATAAAATTCTTCATAAATCAGAGGTGTGGAGATCACATTTTATTTTCTTTGGTTAAAATAAATAGAACTATCAAAGTATCAGAAAATATTGAATCAAGGAAAAGTGAGGTCATTACTCAGATTAAACAAATAAAACCACAACACACCTCCTCCACCAAAAAAAAAAAACAAAAAAAACAAAACAGCAACAACAAACAAAAACACTCCACATTTTACTTGAATTATCTGAGTATTTCAACCAAAAGTTCTTTCTGGCTTAGATTGTCAACAAGATTCTTCCTCTAATATTTCACATGGATTATGAGGGGCTTTGAGGGCCCCCTACCTATGGTCAAGAGACAACCTATTTCTTTAATTACAGTCAATTCAGAATTGGCATTTCCCCATACTCCCTCACATTTTTCTGTTCTCAGTGCCAAGACCTCCCGTTTACTGACTGAGTTTCACAGCGGAGTGGTTTGTGGAGGAGAGAACCAAAGAGGATAAAATGACGTCAGAACTGATCTTCCAGCCCTGGGCTATCATCACACTGAAGGGTAAAGCGGAAGAGGGTGGGCCAGGAAGCTTCAAAATTACAGGGGAGTGCATGAAAATAAACCTGCCAATGCACGTTTCCCCAAGTTTATATGCAAGAAGGAGTCAGTTTGTTGTATGAATATAAAGATTATTATGTGAAATAGAAAGAATGCTATAAATTGAGACCAACTTAGAGGGAAAGAAAGACGGTGCAGGGGAAGTAAAGCCCAGATTGGTAATTTGCCTGGCTGATGAGAAGATGTATTAAATCATCCATAATTTACTGGCTTATTACCAAAACGGGGTTTTGGAATACTCAAGGTAGGGACTGAAAGCAAACCACCACTGGGAAGATGAAGGCTGTGTATTCGGAAATCGTGATATCTCAAGTTAGGGACTTAATTAATGGAAGGTTTTCTTTCCCTGACTGTGTCCATAAAACAGAACCACAGAACCACAAACTGGGGTGTGGGATTGGCTCCTTCTCTATAACTTATTAGAAAGTCAAAGTCAAAAACTTGATGAAAGTAGATGTATATTAAAAACTACTAAAATTTTTCCAAAGACAAGTGACATAATGAGGGAATTTTATAGTTATGTTCAGTTAGCATGATTTGGAAATGATACAGCAATTCTTCTGAAAATTATTAAAAAAATCATACATTTTTCTTTCACATAGCAACAGGGCTAGATTCTATAAAGAATATGATTTTCCTTACTAATTTAAATATAATTTAAACATGCTTAATATATTTCAATATAATTTGAGTTTCATAAATGACTATTTCATCACCTGGCTATAGATGCAAAAAATACAGCAAAATATTGAAATATATGAAAATAATGACATTCAAATGGCAAATGACAAGAAGGTATGACCTTTAAACATTATTTTACAAGTGTGGAAATGTTCAAACTAAAGGGTAAAAATGTAGTGGTGCTCTCCCTTTAAGGAGGGAATCAGGCTTTATTAAAAGAAGCTGCACAAGTATGTTTTTATTTGCTCGGATAATGTATTGTAAATCCTTTTCTTTTGGTTGTCAAGAGAAGCAGAGGGTACAGAATATTTATGACCTGTGGAGTAAAATAAATTACATATCTGCAAACTAATTAGGCTGAGCGAAGTTCTAACATGAGATTGAATGCAACCATTCTTTCTTCTGCTCTCTTGTAAACCCTGGGTCCCTTCACAGGCTTTCCCACCTTTCAGTGTGAGCAGATAAGGAGTATCTCCCTGGCAGGAGACCTCCTGTCTCACTGACATAAAATGGAACTGTTAAAGTTGTCAAGACCTGTGAAACACATTAGATAGCAATGAGAAATCACAAAGCTTTGCTGGAGCAGAACTAATCATTCAAAATTACACTTGCTGTGAATCTCCTTAGATCTGAAAATACAATGAAGTTCCTAAAGTTTCTCACCAAAAACTAGCTTTTGTTTTCTAAACAAAAACAAGCCCCCACCTTCCTCAAAAAAAAAAAAACAACACAAACTTATTTTTTAAAGATTTTATTTATTTATTTATTTATTTTTAGAGGGAGAGAAACATTGTTGTGTAGTTGCCTCCTGCACGCCCCCTACTGGGGGCCTGGCCTGCAACCCAGGCATGTGCCCTGACTGGGAATCAAACCAGAGACCCTTTGGTTTGCAGGCAGGCACTCAGTCCACTGAGGCACACCAACCAGAGCAAAAAAAAAAAAAAAAAAAGAAAAAAAAGGCTTTTCAATAAGAAAAAAACGAATTCTCCAGTTTTCTTCTACAGGAATTTGTAACAGGCTTGAATGTAGAACTTTTTAATACTTTGACTTCAGTATTTTTTTTTAACAAACATAAGAAAAATTCAAGGGATAATTACTTTACTAAAGCAAAATGTCTTTAAGTTTTCTTAAGTTTATGTATGTGACCATCTCAGGTCCATTTTATGTTCACTTACTTTTGAAAATTTAAATTTGCTGTTTTGCACAAATTACATTCAAGGGTCCATTAGCTGCAAAAGAATATGATCTTACCTTTTAAAGAGTACCTTAGAGAACATTATGAAACCTAATGTGTAATTGATAGGACATATAACTTGATAGAAGTAACATTTATGAATAGATTCTTTGTAACAAATTTTTCATATGGTTATATATTATGGTGAAGAGTAGAAAGAAAAATTAACCATATGATTTTGTGCTGTTTGTGTGGGGCTTTTGCTTAAAACAATATATTGATGGCACTATTTTAAGATCACAGCTCATCATTTCTAAACATGCATTTTCTCTTTATTGCACTGTTTTTCATGTCTTTGTCCTGATGAGTAGAAACTCAATAGAAATTAACACATAAAAATTTAATAACTGAGTTTTAACTGACATGGTATTTTAGACAGGAAGTATCTACTGTCCCTTGGGATCAAATGGCTTTCATTCCTATTATTAGAACTTGATTTAAAAACAGTGCATTTCCATCAAAAATATTTGTTTCATAGCAATTCATATTTTATTTTTCATTTTAAGAAGTCTTCATTTAAAAGAAAACTCAAAAGAGTACTTCAAAACTTCCTTACAGGTCACAGACATTTCTATTAGCTCTAGTCACATGCTTGTCTTTTATTAAATCAAAATATAGATAGGTTATTCAATGAATGGTGTTGGGAAAATTGGACAGATACGTGCAGAAAAGTGAAACTAGATCACTTTCTTATGCCACACACAAGAATAAATCCAAAATGGATTAAAGACTTAAATGTTAGACTCAAAATCATAAAAATCCTAGAAGAAAACATAGGCAGTAAAATCTCAGGCATTGCTTGTAGCAATATTTTATCTCATGTCTCTCCTCAGGCAAGGGAAACAAAAGACAAAATAAACAAATGGGACTACATCAAACTAAAAAAGTTTTTGCACAGCAAAGGAAAGCATCAACAAAATAAAAAGACACACA